TTCAGGATGTTTAGCATTACTCCTCATTTGCATCCCTTGATAGCAGTGTTTCTAACCAGTCCTTGGGGACCCCCACAGTCCAGGTGGAGTGCTGAGGGGGAGCAAAAATGTGGACCATCTAGGGGTCTCCGAGGAACTGGTTGAGAACCACTGCTTTATAGCGACCAAGTGATTTAATGATCTAAACCCTAATGTGAAGCAGCACAAGGCCATTCATTCGGCTCACTGCATCGCTGTTACTTACAGGGCTTGCCCTTGACGTGTCGCGGGCTGTAGCACACAGCACTGCCACTGTTTCCGGCTGCAGACTGGTTGCTGAACTGTGAGCAGCGGAGGAAGTCAGGCCAGGAGGCATTGAACATCTGCAGGACGGGTTCACAGCCGTCCCGCGCTGCCTCGCAGAACGACATGCAGGGGAAGATCAGCCGCCTGGGGGCGGTGAAGAGGCCAGGCCAAGACAACCCGTGTTTGCGTCAATATGTTCGGGATCATGCTGTCAACCGCATCATCTTGGCGAGGAACATGCAGCTGGTTCATGTGAAAATTATTCTGTTTGCCTCTTCAATCTTATTCTTTACAAAGGATATTATTTTTCCAAGTATACCTATAACAACGAAGTAATAATCTCTATGGCTATACGGCCGCCCCTTCTGGTGGCTGCTCGGAGAGCTGGAAATGAGAGAGGTTGCAGGACCTGCACACCTACCTCTCTTCTCCCTCAGTGACACATTCTGGGAGTGCCAGGCTGCAGCCAAAAAGCATGATGTGTCGGTAGCAACTGAGACGGTTCAGGTAGCTGAAGAACTTGAGGAACATGTCCACCTCGACACTCTTGACGATGACTCTGCGGGAGAACACACTGGTCCGGTTGTATGGCAGCATGTGGCACTGGCTCTGGCTAATATCCGAACAGACGTCTGCAGGTGAGAGGGATACCAGTGCTCAGCAATATTCCTCACAAAGCAGAAGCACTTCGGGGAATGGACAGAATGAAGTGGGGATGGAAACACCATTATCCCTTTACAATGCATTCCTTTTTTTTTTTTAACCTTGCCTTGTATTCTATTCTAGTCATTTTATTTTTATCTGCTTGTAAATTTATTGTGTATTTTATATTCTCCATTGCGGCTATCTTCTCTCTAAGAGCTACCAAACAAAGTCTCTTTGCATGAGTACAGTGGTAAAGTCTTATCTGATCATGTCCTTATAGCATCTTCAAAGGACACAAAACATCACCCAAAACACAGCACTGTTATTTAACACATATGCCACATTTATAACCCGTACAACTCTTTAATACCGAGTATCTTATGTACCTACAAATAAAATTGTCAAATGACACATAATAGTAATTACAGTCAAACCTCGGATTGCGAGTAACTTGGTTTGCAAGTGTTTGTAAATAAATTTTAACTTGATAAACAAGCGAGGTCTTGCAATACGAGTATTACATATACGCTTTGTCTGCCGAGCGTCACGTGATCACAACTGAGCCGATGGTTCTTCTCTCTCTCACTGCGGGATTGTGGGTAATCGTCTCCCATGCTTGTCTCAGTCGGCGTGCCTCACTTATATAGTCAAAATTTAGTAGAAAAGCACAACCCGAATAAGGGCGTAGCAGCGCGAACGATGAATCTGTTTAATGACAATGCAATGTTTACATTTCTGCGAAATCGAAAATGAGACAAAAGCGGCTGTCATTGGATAGGTTCCTTGTTAAAGTCACACAAAAAGATTCCAGTGAGCCAATAGATAGCAGTGATTCCGTTAGTTATAGTGAAAGTCGTTCTACAAAATAACCCTCCTCTTCTCCTCTGTCTCGTCTCCCTCACACCATCCACGATTCTTTTCAAAGGTAAAGTGCAAGTTACTTTGTTTTATGTATTTTTACTTTATATTGTGTATTAATATTTTTTTATGAATATTTTTGGGTTGTGGAATGAATCATCTGAGTTTCCATTATTTCTAATGGGAAAATTTGCTTTGATATACGAGTGCTTTGGATTACGAGCACGTTTCTGGAACGAATTATGCTCACAATCCAAGGTTTTACTGTATTTTAATATTGTATATTGAAGCAAACCATTGTTTGATAAGTAAACTATCCTGGTTTTAGAAACGAGCTGCATTGGCTGAACATTATGCACAATATTACATGTCTGCCAAATGTCAGTTTAAGTCAGAAATACGGAAAAAACGTGGTGCAATGAGGTAATAAATCTTCAGTGGTGTTTGGTTCCGACCGATTTTATTATGCTTGAGTTAATGATCCCTGGAAACCCATTTAGTTCATTTATTGACATTTCCCTACCCAAGGTAACATGCATGAATAAATGTGAGACTATTAAGACAATCTTAGTGTAATTTAGTGGGCTAAATTGACCTTGATAATGGTCCTTCTTAGTAGGTCAAAAGTGAGAAGCCGTAATCCACTGTCATAAAATGGTTTCATAATGATCCATTGGAATATTGTTTTGACGGAAAGTTGAAGACATGATAACATTCATGAAGTTCTCTGGCTTTCTTTTGGTAATTGTATACAAAACTATATATGTCATTCTTTAGATGGCTCTGAAGATGTGTGCATAATATCTGTCAAATAAGGAGTGTTTGCTTGTAGACCACTAGCCTGCTGAGATATTTCATAAAGGGTGTCTCCTGTACTTTAAACCCACATCCTGAGACTAGAGTCAGTGTGAAACAGTCATTGTCTCTCTGCCGCTTCATTATAATTCCTCAGCTTCTATGACCTCCACAGCCAGGGAATATTTGGGCATATTTGCTTAATGATTTATCTTTATAGTGTTTGGATAGTCTGATGAGAGTGCTGTGATGTACTCTTCAGTGAGGTCAAGCTCTAAGGACGAGTGCAGCACCATATCAGAATTCCAGTCACTTCTTGCATCCTCGAGAAGGACATGTTCTGAGAATGTAATGCACCCAGCGCCGCCCAAATTACACCGGTGCCTAATGTTGCGGTTACTTAAAACACCGATTCATCTGTGTGCAGTCAGAATAGAAGAATATGCTATATATACGGTACCCTGAAATAAATCACTGTGTGATACCCCAACGGGAACCAGAACATTAGCGGAACTTCTTAGGGTTTTCTCACCCTTATCCATGTTGAGATCCATTGCCTGCGGTGTTGTGTCTGACCACAGTGGACTGAGAGTGGACAGTGATGTCACCCAGCTGGGGACAGCAGTGGTGGGGACATCGGGGGTGGCAGTGAGGGTGGGGGGCCGGAATGTGGGGCTGCTGGAGTTCCGGGAGCGAGGCTTCAGGTGACCCATGCCCTGGGTGATGGGGTCACGGGTGCTGCGATCCGGCCCAGCGGGAGAGGCCTGTGGCCCCAAGCTGAAGCCTGTGAGGGGCAGATCTGTCCCAGGGGCCTCTTTGCTGGCGGGAAGGGGGTGCGTCTCCCCAGACTGCAGAACACCATTTCCTATTGTACCTGTATTTAGAGGGGCAGAACATGTTCACTAAAATACCACCAAAGCAAATTCGCAGGGACTGAAGATACACAACACTTATGTCAAAGGAAATATTTCCAAGGAAATCAGTTTCAAAGTCTTGGGATTGCTAACAGGAAATCCATCCTTACATCTTCCAATAATGGTCCATCTCTCCCTTAAACACTTACAGTATCCTGGAGTCAGGGTTGTGCAGGGTCACAAGGTCACGTGACAAGGGTACAATGGCCAGCATGCTAGTCCACTGTAGTCCACACACACCTAATAAAATACTATGGGCAACTGAGAGATGCCTTATACGCCAATTAAAGGAGCAAACTGGACCCCCCCCAAAGGAAAGCCAGATGACTTGGGGAGAACACATTATGAAACAAAGGAGGATTCACATCCCCAGCCCTGGAGGTGTGAGACTATAACCCTCGCACTAAGCCACTGAGCCACCCTTTATTCTAAATATAAAGGCATCAGCAACTGTGTCTAAAATCACCAGAGGCTAAAGCAAGATATTTATAAATAACACATCATATAAGCCTGAAAGACCGGCAGCCTCACTGTCTGCATGTGCTGAACTGGACCCCTGCTGTGTGGTTCCCCTGCTTCTCTGACTCTCCCTCAAAATACAGCAGAAGTATCTGCTTTTGTGCCTGGAGGATCTAAGCCATAGGACTTTTCACAAATATGCACGAAAAGTATGTATTTAAGACTGAACACACACACCTGCACATACAGATACAGACTCAATGAACATTGACCAGGTTTGTATTTTTCCGGTATTTATTTATCAGTTTCTTTTTTTATCTTTCTTTATTTACTTCTTATGTGTCCTTTCATACTCATTGATATGTTGTACAGCACTCTGTGTTTTTGAATGTGCTTAATAAATAAACTGATTTGACTGAAATTTGTAGCTTGAAAAAAAAAGGTAACTGAAGATTCCCTCCATTTCAGGGATTTGATCACAGTGAGCCCCAGATGTGGACTAAGCAGACTTCTGGCAGATGAATGCAGAGAGTGGTCATGCTGTAGCCACACAGCTCATTGTTCCTGACACACCAAGGAGCTGCGCAGCTCTTTAGATACAAGCAGCCTGACTGGGGCATCTGTGCTCCCCTGCGGGGCAGCTGACCTCAGCGCACCTTCTGATAAATGCCTGCAGCTGCCGTGCTGTAAACTCATTCAGCTTTACTACCCAGGGAGTTGAAAGAGGTCAAAACTCTGCAAGCGTAAAATTAGCGTATGTCCTGCTGGGGGCTGCCAGCGTCTGGATGCTGCTTCCACTGTGCTTATAGGAACCCCCCCCCCCCGCGCATTGTGGTGAATTAACACTTCGCCGTATCTTGAAAAACCACTCACGTTACTTAACAAAGGCACGTTCTACGCCTCCTTTGGTTGGCTGAGCCTCATTCAGCGTCATCTTGGAAATGTGCGCTTTGCGTCAGTTTTTAAAGTTTTATTTGTTCTTTTTGTGACTCATAGGACTCCAGCGACATAATTAGGGATCCGTAGCCTACATTTCAATCATCCAGCTCGGTGCCATCTGTGGATGACAGCAAAGGAAACGGGGGAGTTGCATCTGCAGGGTAACACACGAGCAGCGGCCAATACAGCCAAGTGCTACTGAACACAGCGGCTCACCCTTACTAGGCAAAATGCTGCTTTCTCTACTATTTATTAATGGTTGAAATGGACGCCCGTTACATATTACCTTACAACTGGAAATAATCCATCTATCCATCTTCCATAACTGTTTATCCAATACAGGAGCCTGCAAGCGATCCCAGGCAGCACAGGGAAGCAGGCAGGGGACAGCAAACCACGCCACAAAGCCTCACACTATGCTGGATCCAGAGACGCCGATTAATTCAAGTGCATGGTGCCACATGAAAAGTTTGCACACACATGGGGGGGGGATTCAAACCCCCTCCCCTGGGGTGTAAAGCAGCACTATAACCATCTTAAATTCGTGTTTAATGCACGTGTAGCATGCAGGCTATCTGTCGCTCAGTGTCAGCAGATGCAGTCACCATGCATATTCCTGACCAGGTGGGGAACTGAAAGAGCAAATTCACACATCTGAGCACCTCTCAGCAAAGCCAAAGGCCAGTGTTCAGCACAGATAGGCTGTTTATGATGGCTCATCCACCCTTATGAGCTCCGAAACTTAAATACAACCAAAGGATTTTTCAAAGTGGAACTAACCCACAAAGGGGAGACAGTCACCATCTCGATCTGGAAAATAGCGACGCACTTTAAAATGTTCTGGCAACTGCACAGAGAGGTACTGTCATACATATTTGGAAAAAGTAAGAGAAAATAATACATTTCATTTGTCAGTATGAGTATATGGTCAATGATTTATCTATAAATGTGTCTCTGCTTGTTAGCATCAGTCTATGGGCAAAACTACTGGAATATTAAAGCCTGCGTATCTTCCACCACCCACTAACACGTGGGAGGACAAAAAAATGACTCTGGGATGACAAAGCAACAAAGCACTGATGGTATTTTGGTTCGATGAATGTTTAAACCCAATATACGCAGATCCTGACGCAGAAAGCTTTTAATACTTTTAATCAGCAGAATCTGATTCTACTTCCTGTCCTGTCTAGGCAAAACTATAATGGTTCATTTGTATATATTTGAATTTTAAAAGACAATCATTCACAAAAACATTGGTGTGTTAACGTGAGTATTATGTGTTTCCCATTCATTTGGTCAAAGTGGGAGGATTTGAGTTTTTATGACGACAGTATTAAGAGAATGAGTGCAAGGACATAAGCATGCCTATTGGTGCATGCCTATTGGTAATTGCCTTGGATTTTGATCAACATGGTGAACAAAAGGCTGCAAGTAGGTAAACATAATAGTCCCAAAAACAACAAAACAACCACAATATGCAAACTAAGGCGTGAGAAGGAAAAGCGGGCTGACTCACCGTTAAGTGCCAAGCAGATAAGCAGCAAGCAGAGAAGGGCGCACGTACAGGGCATCAGGATGACGAGCAGCAGTCGGAGGTACCTGACTGATCCCAGCTTTTGAGAGCAAACGTCCCCCATATTGTCCTCATCTGTCCCCAACACCTGTTTCAGGCAGCCGGCAGTGCAGCAAAAACTGTCAAACTATCACATAAAACACTTAGACCTTAGTACATGGTCAGCTTACCTACGTATACGGGTTAATGCACGTAGATACACTAACAGCGCACGATGCAGCGTTCATGTTCAGCGGCTATATTAAGGTACAAACGGATGTTTGAAAGAATCAGAAACCATAAATAAGACACCGTGACAGAATGTTATACAAGGCACTGCCAACATGTTAATTGTCCTTGATAATAATAAAGACCTGTGACCCAACACGAATTGCTCCCTGACGTGCTGTCGCCGGTTATTTTGAACTACATTTGACCATGATTACGGATGAGGACACCATAATTACAACATTTATGATACCAGCATTTCATCTCGCACTACTACTACCATCATCATCATTTAAAAATATTGACTGTAATTATAAAACAAAATAAACAATACTCAAATATGGGCGTGATACACTACTCCACAGCAGAATATTATGCGCCTGCGGTGACGGTATGCACAACGTGCTGATCTGCTCTGAAGACCTCAGTTTGGATAGGACATCTTACCTGGCAGCAGAGCCGCGGCTACAAACCGGTGCCTCCTGAAGCCGGCTGATTAAATCAACCTGCGGGACAGCATCGACTCCCTAACAATTTCACAATGAATGACTACTTTTCAAACTTAAGCTTAGGAGAGCCGATAATAGACAGCTCGGGCTTACAGAATAGCGTCCGACCCGCCCCATCATAAGGACTTTTAGACGGGACCTCTCCATCGCTCCGCCCCAGGGTCCTAGCGCTGCGTTTCCAGGATTCTCCACCGTGCAATCTCTTTATGCGTTAATCCATGTAAATGTGCTATCATTGTTCAGATTTTCCTTCCATTCATAAATAACTACAGTAGAATCGGCTAAAATATACGCGATTGTACATTTGTCATGCGTTAGCGTTTACTTGGGACATGACTCGTAACGGAGTATAGAGAAAGAAAGGTAGATCTGTTAGACTTAGGCAGTTAGCGTCCCAGCTTTTCCTATCCTATAGGAAATTATTTCGTTATTTTAATATGCCGATTTTTTGAGTTTAAACCAAGTGTCGGGTTTTGTTGAGTAACTTCTTCCGACTGCGCTAGGACCCAGTCTGCAAACGGGTCGCAGATGCAGACAGCCTGGGGGACCATGGTCTCTGCCTATTTATAACCAGGTATTTGTTAACTTCAGATTTTCCATTCCAGTGCCGGTGGTACTGTAATGAATGGGGGATCTGAAATCTCATCTTCGGAAGAAGTTTATTTTTAACCTTCTCGGGCAAGCAGAGACCACGTATCTTCTCTGGGTGTGAGGAGAAGGCGCAGTGCCGGAGTGGGAAAAACGGTTTCACACTTCAGATCTTAAAATAGTCATTACAGATAATCCCAGTGCATTCGTCAGCTCTAGCAGGCAGCGTAATATTGAAACACGACCTGCATGAATCTGTTACTGCTATCAAATTACAGCAAACATCTGACACGCAGGTACAGTTTCCGCTACGGGGATATGCACTTATCCAGTCTATGGTTAGACTATAATACAGCTGCAGGCACTTTTCAAGAAACAGAGAATATACATGCGAAACAGGCACAATCCTTTATCCGCGTGCCGAGTGTAGTTAAGAGCCTAATGGGAACCAATATGTAAAACAGTGTGATATAACATCGTGCTTCGAGGGTAGGGTCAGACACTCAACGCCTTCCAGGTCGCTGCGATGGTCCGGTCTGACGGACAGCACTTTCCTGAGCGCCCCGGGGTTCGGGTCTGACCGCCCGCACATTCCTGGGCGCCCCGGGGTTCGGATCTAATTCTCAACCCTTTATTTCCTCACCATGTAATTACAGCACCGCTGATGTTCGACTTATTTTTGCGCACCCCGGGGTTCAGGTCTGACACCTGGCAGCTCTCTACCCAGCTAGTGCGACACAAACATAAACTTCGCGGTCAGGTTATAACTCTTATTCGGAAGGAAGGGCTTGGAGCAGACCGAGTACAAAATGCTGAAAAACAATTGTTCTGTAATAAACACAAAATTAACAGAAAAGCACAAATCGGCGCATACATTTCTTATAGCGTGAAATGTATACTGGCTAGATTATATATTGGACCGTAAACGAGTAATAACGGAGCACTTTCTATTCACCGTATTTTAAGAAACATAACATCTCACTTCGTAGTACAACAACGTGCTTGCCCTTACCCCGTTAGTGAAGCCAACTTGTGAACATTGTTGTTCAGAGTTCAATGAGGAAAACTGTTGCATGGACAGCATGACCAGGTACTTCTCATGTCCGTAGTGCACTTTCACTTCTGGCCGCTTCCTTCTCACGGACTTTCAAATGGAGCGGACACTTTCAGACATACTACTGTTTGCTCTCCTCCAGTAGTTTACGTTAAGAACTCAGGGGTCTCATCAGCCAACATTGTTGAAAAGCTCCACCTTCAAAATTAACGATTTTAGACCCAACCCACACAGTTTCCCATTCAGGGATACAAAGAAATCAAAAGTAGCCTGCAAGGAATTTATAACTGCCACCAATCATAATTCAGTTCCTATAATCCAGATTCTGGAAGGTTGAAGCCAGTCCACTGAATTAACCCAAATATTCAAAACACATTGGAAGTAAGCAAAGTCGTTAAGATCAAAGTGCATTTTTCTGTGTTCCATTTGCATGGTACCATTTTTGATTATGTTTGCAGGCAAAATTTGTTAATCTGATCTAATCAGTTTATTAAGACTCTTACTCAAGAATCTTAATTTTCGCTTCCTCTTTTTGGAGACATACTAATCTTGAAGTAATGATGATCTCTTTATGACCTTGCCAAGGGGTTTAAGTCTGACCCTGGGGAACTTAAAGACTGAACACAACACATGAGGAATTTGATATGACAAATTAGAGTGCTTCTGGTAAATGATGCAGAAACAATGAAATCACATTCTCGGCCATTTCCTCCATTATAAACAGCTGAAAAAGTACTGGATTAAGACAGGAGAAATAGCCTTTTCAAGAGACCACATTTTAGGTTTTTATGGAGGAAAAAAAATCCAAAACTTGAAAAAAAACTTGAAATGAAAAACTTGCATTGCATTTGTTTAATGGTGATCTAAATCAAAACGTTAAATCTACTGAGAAAACTGACACCACCACAAAGGAAACGTGTCATCTTTGTAATCTTCAATTAAAGATTGCATTAGATAAAATATAAGGATACCATTTTAATTGTGATCCAGTAAGCATGCAATATTAGAAGTACGGCATATATGGTATGGTCTCGTATAACAGATAGCTGTGCCCTGACAAACCTTGAGTTAAGGAAATATGTGCTATATAAAAAAAATGGGGTTTATGAAAAAATGGGGTTGGGCAAAACACTCAATTTTGTAAGCAACAAACACAGATGGGTTCAACACCTATTAAACTAAATAGTGGGGAGAGATGCACTGCAAATAATGGATGCCAATCAAACGAAGAATAAGCCACGGAAAATGTCCAGTGGCAGGGAAGCAGAGCTTCAACCCAGAGACTAAAGCTTCACAGCTGTACCCAACTTCCATGATGGCCTAAAGAGAATTAGTGAAACAGCAACACAGGAAAAAAAAAACCACTCAAAGTGGCACCCAACAATACCAAACAGCTAACAGACAGATACATCCTACAACAAATATGGTACTTTAGCATGAAAAAAAGACCTAAAGCTTGCCAGTGGAAGTGGGTGCTGGGAGTTTGCTGCTTGGGAACTATTACTGGCACCACAACATTTGAAGATGTTCCAGCAATAGCACTTTTTGTGGCCTTGACTACAGGCATCTCTTTATGCCTCTTATGGTATAATTTCCTGTCATTCCATTCAAAATGCTTCACATTTCAAGCTTCACTGCTTGGCTTTTCTCACCAAGACGTGTTAAGGGGACCATTTTTTAATTGTAAAAGTTATCAAAACAAACACTTGTAGGGTTACACACATGGTGAGCTGATGCAGTAACTGGCTGTTTCAGGTCTTGTGCTCCATGTGTCCCTACGCACATGGGATCAGCTAGATGTTGATTTTTTGTTCCCCTGATTCTTCTCACAGACAAAATCATCCTTAATAAATGCCAACATCACACTAAGTGTTGCCTAGTATATCAATTGCATTAGAGAGCAAATTTGCATTTACAAAACGTTTCATAGGAGAATATACCAAGTAAATGGAAAATAATTGATCAGCCTTTATTTTGGTTTGATACCTCAAAATACAACACGTACTCAAATAAGCACAAAATCATTGCCCCTATTTCGGTTATGGTTTACATTAAGTGAAAATAATTTGGCTTTATACAAACAAATCCTACAAGATTACTAAAAGGGAAAATGTGTAACTATTCGAAATTTGCATTTTCTCTAGGGCAAATCATGAAAATGACACACACACACACACACACACACACACACACACACACAGACAGACAGACAGACAGACAGACAGACACAGACAGACAGACAGAGACAGACACACAGACAGACAGACAGACACAGACAGACAGACAGAGACAGACACACACAGACAGACAGACAGACAGACAGACAGACACAGACAGACAGACAGAGACAGACAGAGACAGACAGAGACAGACAGACACCCCTCAATTTCATTCACCAAAATGCTGGGCTTCATAATGACACACCAGGAACTGATTGGGAATAATCTGTTCATTCTCACTGGCTGCTACCTTTTCTAAGCCTTTTGAGGACGGCGTCGTAGTGAATGTGCTTCAGCACACAGCTTTAATCAATCTGAAGTATATAGAAAGCAGCCAAAGCCAGCAAAACCCCACAAACTGGTACCATCATGTACTTCTTATACTTGTGCCAAACAGCCTCTTCAGTTTCCACATCTGTGTTCCTCCTGTTTCTCTTACGTCGTCCCTTCAGCCGTTTTTCAAAGGCCTCCAGCTCAGCCTGCATCAGCAACACAGAGGAGCTTCAATCATGCGCTTCAACTCCACCCACCCGCTCTTCCTTTAGAGATGGATGGTCCCAGTAACACCAAGGCAACATGACAATTACAGGCAAGACATACAGCAGATTCACTGGTCAAAAGATAATCCACAAATGTCCTGTCAAGCACCAGAAAGAGGAAAAGGCTTCACTATAAGCCAAGATACACTATATGGATAAAAGTAGTGGGTCACACCTCAATCATTGAATTAATGCATTTCATTCAGACCAAGTGCCACAGGTGCATAAAATCAAACACCAAGCCATGCAGTCAAGATTATAAACATCTGTGAAAGAATGGGTCATTCTGAAGAGCTCAGTGGATTCAAGTGTGGCACTGTCACAGGATGCCAGTCAGTTTGTGGAACCAATTGTAAGTGGTATTACTGCAAAGTGGAAGCATTTAGGAACAACAGAGACTCAGCCATGAAGTGACAGACCATGTGGCAGTGCCGGGTAGCCCAGTGCTGAGGCGTACACTGCATAAAAGTCGCCAGTGCTCTGTTGACTCAATAACAGCAGAGTTCCAAACTTCCTCTAGCATTAACTCCAGCACAAAAACTGTGCACTGGGAGCTTCATGGAATATAGAATTATATTTTATACTTGCACATTGATTTACTACTGAAACTCGCCTGGCCGCACTATGTGTGGAGTTATAGAAAATAAATCAACACACTTCAGATTTGAGAATTTAACAGTGCCGTGGTATAATGTGATTTACTGCATGTGTACTTCATTATTACAAAGAGCAATGGAGTACAAATTATGCAATAAGGTCAAATGAAGCTTAGAAGTCCTGACCTGTTGTTGCTTCCTCTCTTCCTCGATCGCTGCTTTCTCCTTAGCTTCCTTCAACTAAAAGACACAAAGAAGTACTCAGGTGATCATTAACTTGCAACCTTTTTTCTACTGAATCCACCGTTTGCTGTAAATGACAATATCCTACGAGGTCATAACATGTGTACACACTGAAACACTGGACATCTTTTGTTTAGATCATCTCTGCCCTTCAATGTCACATCAGAGGCAGTGATGATGTTTAACGGCACCTAAAACTAAGAGGTGAGGCAGTGATGATGTTTAACGGCACCTAAAACTAAGCGGTGAGGCAGTGATGATGTTTAACGGCACCTAAAACTAAGCGGTGATACCTCTGAGGCTTTCTTCTGCAGGGTTTTGCATAATTCATCACATCCTACTGCAGCTTGTCCGTCGCACACCTTAGGACAGGGGAATTCCTGTGGGAGACAGTAAATCCCTCAGCACGCCTGAATCCAACACAGCAACACTCAAGCCGGCTTATGCACTCAGTTACTGGTGGCCAATGAACCGAAAGTAAAAGCTGATTCACATGTTTTCTAGGGCACGACACTGGCTGGATGTAACAGCCCCAATGTCTTTGATAAAACTGACAAGAGGACTCAGAATAGGGCCATCAATCTCCTTCCACGGACAAAGACCTACTTAAAAGATTGCAGGCAAAGATGGGACAGACACGACCCACCAAGAGATGTACCTTTCTGATGCGCTTGCAGGGACATTTAACCTTGACTTTCTGGCTGCATGTCTCCCGGCACCTCCCTGCATGGCAGACATCCTGGCAGCGATGGCCACACCGTAGCTGCACGGGGACAAAAGTCTGTCAGAAACTGGTTGAATGGGAACCACTGTTACATCTTATCTACCAGTTTGGTTCACGTGTTTTCATGCAGCTTTATTTTTATGTGGTTTACACTAGACTTCCCAAATTTTCTTTCACTTCATCTGATAAAGCTGTCTTATGAAACTGTAAAAGTAAACGTATCACTCAGCCAATATTTTGCTGAATCTTCTGGTAGGATTTTGCCATCTCAAACGTCTTATTGTCTGTGACTGAAACTCCATATCCTATAGTGTTAATGGATACACGAGTAAAGCCATTCTGCATAGACGACCCTCATTGCGGGTTCCTGTAGCATATGAGAACCGATGGTCCCAGATTATCACAGCCTCACTGAGGCAGACGAAGTACAAACACACAGGTACCCGAACACAGCTATATTTTTAAAGCCCAGATCACCAAAACTAATTCATTCTGGAAGTCAACACATGCCACATTCAACACGACTCATCACTTTGCACAAATCTGTCATTCGCTTCCACACATTCTACCTGACTCAGCATTTGACAGCTTGATTAGTTAGGTATCACAACCCAAAGATTTCATAATGTTCATAAATGGTCCAGCTTCATATAGGAAAAACATTCCTGACAATTTCTCCAGTTTAACCCAGCCCCTATGCACATTTATAAAACGTACTAAATGTACATTTGCTGGCCTACAGTATATGCAAGGTGCCTCTTTCGCAGGTTCCGGGCCCCTGTGCTGTTCTGCCATTTACAGGGCTGTCACCCATCAGGGACCTTGCAGGCACAGGAAGGGCTGGCTGTGGGCGTCAGCAGCAGACACTTCTGTAGAGCTCGGACATTAGCAGCTTTTTTAGCTTTAGCTTAGTTGTATTGATTTTCAGCCTATGGGTGGCTTTGTGGAACCAGTTGTGGTACAATCAGTGAGAAGAATAAAAGGAGCTGTGGCCCAGTCAGATGATCAGATTGGGGTACTGGGAACCTACTTGTTGGAAGATGGCGGCACAGGAGGTAGTGCTATCGTTCGGCAACCAGAGGGTTGCAGGTTCGAGCCCTAGTTCCTCCTGACCCCATCAAAGTGTCCTTGAGCAAGACACTGAACCCCGAATTGTTCCCGGTGTGCAGGTTGGCGCCTTGCTTGGCAGCCTCCGCCACCGGTGTGTGTGTGTGTGTGTGTGTGTGTGGATGGGGGAATGTGAGGCATGTATTGTAAAGCGCTTTGAGTACTCGTAGGAGTAGGAAAGCACTATATAAATGCAGTCCATTCACCATTTGTTGGAAACTGGAAATATTTTAAAAAGAGTTTAGTAAAGTAAGTTAAAATCATGAAAGTTCACAGACTCTCCCCTGAAAAGTCACTCAGGTTAAACATGAGAATGAAGCAGCACCAACCTCCTTGGGACACTGATTCTTACAGCAGCCCAGTGACTTTTTGGTGTCTTCATCTGCTGACACAAGTTCTCTGAAAAAGACAAAATGGGCCGATGGGGCAAAGTGAAGAAAAAAGTGTAGCTGGAGGCTGTAGATCAGGGGTCTCCAACGCCGGTCCTGGAGAGCTACCGTCCAGTAGGTTTTCTATCCTACCCGGCTTCTGATGAGCCACACCTGTTCTCAGGTAAATACCAGGAGCAGGTGTGGCTCATCAGAAGGATAGAAAAACTACTGGATAGTAGCTCTCCAGGACCGGAGTTGGAGACCCCTGCTGTAGATGCTGTTTACTGGCACGTGTTCGGGGTTTGGGTCACACCCAGGAAACTGAAGCACAGGATTGGACAGAATGCTTTGCTTTCCAACTTAACTTTAACTAAAATACCGCACTGGAAATTATTCAGACCCTCAGTTTGTCAGCTGCTTTGTATAAAGAGGGCAGATGAAGATCACATTGGCCCTGGCTACAGCGACGCAGGCCAGAGAGACTCACAGGCACTCCACAAACAGCGACATGATCTTGCAGTGGCACTTCAGACGGACCATCTTTGTGCAGGCAGGGCAGGGGCCGGGGTGGCAGGGCAGGGCACAGGGGTGTGGGCAGCCTGGGGGCCGGGGCCGGCTGCAGGGCTCTTCACACCGTAGGCACTCTCTGCCAGCCTGTCAACGGGGTGTCACTCAGGGTTAGCTTGTGAGGGTAGGGCAGACGCAGGGTTAGGGGGCATGGGACTGCGCTGAGATCAGAGCACCACAGGGACAGGCAGGCACAGGGTTAAGGAGCACGGGACTGTGCTGAGGTCAGGGTAGACGCAGAGGCTTGGTGATACCAACACCCCCCAGAGCACTAACTGTGAGCTCACTGTGAGCTTCAGGGAGCAGCTGAAGAAAAGAGGAGTCTCTGAGAGGCAGTGCGTTTCAGCATCTGCGCAACAAATGTTGCATGTGCAGTGACGCATGCTTACAGACATTACTCATCACATCACTGTAATAGGGGGTCTGACTATGGGGCTTAAGCTGCCATTTCATAATCAGCATTTACTAGGGGTGTATTGATACAGTTTGCCAACGATTACGTATGTATTGCAGTTTTGGGGCCACAGTAGATTATCGAACCATTCGGTACGCCATCTGCTGCTGTATGATGACATTTATATTCTAACCCTTGAAAATACGATCTCAGATTTTTATAATGTATTTTTCTGGGTGTCTTATATTCACAGCAGTATGTATAGGAAAATGAGGCATACTGTAATATCCGCAGTTCAAGTGTGTGTAACCAATCACTGGGGACATACCGAACGCTTCGTTAATATACCGTGTACTGTTACATGGCTAAGTAAATGTGTTGTGACCGGGCTAAATATACAGTTATATGGAAAAATAATGAAGTCTATTTATCTTGATTGGTGGGCCAGTCCCTGTGCCGCCCAATGATTGGTGGGCCAGTCCCTGTGCCGCCCAATGATTGGTGGGCCAGTCCCTGTGCCGCCCAATGATTGGTGGGCCAGTCCCTGTGCCGCCGATTACCAGTGGACTAGTCCCTGTCCATCCCATAATTACGGTATTGCATAGCCGTATTTCTTGTACTTTTCTGTACTTCACACAGGACTGCCAATTTGCACATCCAGCAAAGCCGGGTCAGTGCCATATCACACTTATGCCCTATCTAACCCTCCCAAACTGATTCCCGAATACACGAGACATGAAAACCCTGAATGCGCTTTCCTGAATACACATTCCGATATGGGCATACGAGCAGACTCCATGAAAGGTGGCTAATCCATTTCCATTGCCACTGCTCTGGGTAACATTCTTGCTGAGGTTGATGCCTCTGAGTTACGTCCTTAGGTGGGAAAATGTGCCAAGGCTCAAATGACCAGTAGAGGTTAAAGCACCTGCAAGTGACAAACAGGTTAAACAGCACCTAGGAAAGCATACAGAGGTCTTCATAACAAGACTGGGGGCAGAAGCAGGCTGGAAGCAGACCTGCCGCTTGTCGTCTTCCCTGGATGCAGGGGATACTGCATGGCATTCTCGCACGCAGGAGTGGTTCCCGCAGGCCAGGAGGCGTCCGCAAGGCCTCCCACAGGAAAAAGGTCCCTGGCGGTGGCAAGGGACCGGGCTCACCTGAAACAGGCACAACATGCTTTGGACTCTGGCAACAGTAGTGAACTTACATACAGTCCCCAAAAAGCACTTTCCATGCACTGGAACCCCCCCCCCCCCAAACCAATAACTAATGCTAAGACATGCCTGGTATGACCAGCACTGTTAACTAGAGACTGAGCAAAGGTACAGTGCAATGATTACTCTGATTGATACAAGATTCAAACCCACAACCTTCCAAATACTGGTAAAGACTCCCGAGCTGCTGAGCTAACACTGCCAACACATTACATTGTGACGTCCAAAAGGAAAAGCAGGGAATTGAAATAAAGGCAGCAGTGTTTAAGCATCAGTATTTTATCTGAACACGAACGCTTGTAACACACAATAAAGCCGCTGGCAAATGCGCTGCTTTGCCAAAGCCCGTCGTAAAGTCGGAAATCTTTGACCATAAGGAAAGCATAAAAATATGCATGTCTTTGTTTTACTAGGCAGTGAACATGGATAAAACCAAAAGGATGAGATGAGCAACACAATAGGCTTGCTAGAGAAACACATTCCTCTGGAGATGACCTTTAAAACAAGCGACTGAGATCTAAAAAGCAGCCACAGCAGAGTGCAGTGCTGACCTTTCTCTTATCAGAGGAATATGTAATGCACACTGCCCGCCCCCCCCCCCCCCCCCCCCGAGCCCCCGCGCCTTTTTTTTTTTTTTTTTTGGGGGGGGGGGGGGATGTAGCATTAACAGGCTGTGGAACTTAAGAGCCTAATCATACTATAGGGATTCTAAGCAAAGTTTGCTACTGAGTCTGACAAATGAAAACCAGCAAGATGGTTTGGACCAGGGTCACTGAGGTTGAGTGCAGGCTGATGCGTCGACAGAGCCAGACATACATATTTGTAAATTTCCGACCTAAACAATCAGCTACCGGCTGACTAACAGTCTTTTACACTTTACTACACCGTCTATTAAGGCAGGTTACATAAACAAAATGGAAAGGAGAGGACAGTTGGAGTTCCAGCTCACTCATTCCCAGAAAACAAGCATGGAAGTATCACTTTGAAGGCAGCACTCTGCAGCGAGAGATGGCTACACTGCAGACAGTCACCAAATCTGGTGACAGGAAGGACACACTCACTGCCACTAGTAAGCAGCATCTCACCTCAGACCAAAGACATTCACACACGCCCACACCGGCCCTACATATGTCTCTGCTTTCTGCCTCTTTAAATGAGAAAGAGAACATTCCAGAGCAAGGAGGCACATGTGTGGAACTGGACCCACCTCATGATCCCCCAGGCAGGCCCTGTAAAGAGCAAACAAATGCAGGTTTTAGTTCGCAAAGGTCCGTTTGGACAGAACATAAACAGAGTGCAAATGCAGAACAGTGGAAACATGTGCTGCTCTGCAAAAGCTGTGGAGGAACAGGAGCTGCTTGCTGCAGGTTGGATTGGACGATCAAGCAAGCAGCCATAGAAACACAGTCCTGTTTTGTCAGGAATCCGACAATTCTGCACCGTGTTAGGGCCGCACATGGCCAAACAAAGCATGCAAAGCCAAACGGGGATCCGGGAATTCTGCACCGNGTTAGGGCTGCACATGGCCAAACAAAGCATGCAAAGCCAAACGGGGATCCGGGAATTCTGCACCGTGTTAGGGCTGCACATGGCCAAGCTTTCAGCCAAACAGTAATTCTAAGAAAGCATTAATAACCCTTTTGTTTCCTTCCTCCCAACACAATCACAATTACTAAAGCCATCAAAATAATTAGTGCCATGTTTTTATTACTCTCAAATTATTTGTCGCTCTACTGAACAGGACTTGAAATGGGCATCTTGGCAAACAAAGGTCTAAAAAAGGGCCAGTTTTCTAGGAATGTCCTAACTTTGTTCTTCCCATGACGTTAATGGTCTAAAATTTGTTACTGTGAGATGAGAGCCAAAGTGCAGACATGCCGCCAGCGAGGGGTTTAATGGGGCTTAAGGGCCTCGGCACGCAAAGGTAAGCAGGAGCGGCTCAGACAGGAGACACGTACGTGGGGATGGGAACCTGGCATGGAGGGCAAGGCAGCGCACGGCTCACATAGGCTGGTCCAGACTGCTGCTCCCACGGACCGGCCAGCTGGACCTGAAACGCACCAGGCATCAGCTCAGACAACCAGTGAGGACACTCAGGGGGGGGACCCAAAACCAGTGGGAGCTCCAAACACACTCCTCTGCACTCCATGGTCCAAAAGGATTCCCAGTGCACTTTACCTCACAGCAGGATTAGCAATGTTCTACCCGGAACCCGAGAAGAAACAAACAACTAATCACTAATCAGTACCTGGCAGATGCGAGATTGGGGCCTCCCTTACCCGGTCAGTGTTCCTAACCAGAACTTCATCATGGCACGGGGCAGGACAGTCATGCCCACACTGGCCCAGGACACGCTGGCAGACCTGCCGGCAGGGCGGGCAGGCACCAAAATGACAGCGATGCTTCTCACGGCTGGCATGGTGGCACGTGGGTGCAATCCTGCACAGATAAGAGGCATGAGCACAAGCGAAACACTAACACGTTCTTCACTCCGACTTTCAAATGCTGAGTCAGGAAATTTTCTGCTTGCCAGTTTTACAAGTAACTGCTTCTCACACCTTGGAAAAAAAAATCTCCATTATGCTGGGACCAACGCTTTGGGAATCTTAAAGAGCTCATCAGCTGGCCATGTTCTGCGAGACTGGAGGGCAGATTTAAGTAGGTCTCTCACTGTTTGTCCAAAAGTGCTTCAACAAAACCCCAATCTTGTGATGCCTCCAATTACCCATCAAAGAGAGATATCAAGGGCATGTCAACCTTCCGGATTTATTACATCCCCCACCTCACTGATGAGCAGAGAAGTCAAGAGCACGGGGATGCCTTGGAAATCAATCAACTTCATCACACACAATTGTATTTTCATGCAACTAGGACTGCAGGCACAATTGCAATATAAATCAATTGAATTAGTCCCACAAGCTATCCACTCTAAGAGCTTTGGTTCTTTGGTATTCTCCTCTACCTTCTGGTCACAGGGAGCATAGCTGATAAGGAACAGGGCTGAGGGTTCTGCTGGAGTAGCTTAGCCTTATTTTACTGCACGCAGTGGCCAATGCAAGCTGGTCGGGGAGCCGAGGTCTCACCTGCAAAGTTCCTGGCACTTGGGCGGCCTGGTGTTCCTCTCCCGGCCGCAGGGCACCGTGAGCACCGTGGAGCTGCAGGCACAGGCCACTGGCACAGTCTCCGGGCACGGGTAGCAGCTGCCTGCAACACACAGCATGAACATCACCATTTTTCGATCCTCGATAGGATTGGAGCATTTCGGTCGGTACCACAGAGGTACTGAAGTTTGGTACCCAGCCCTAGCTTCCTGTCACACATAGCCTGAGTATAACCATGAGACACGGCGCTCCAACCTGCCTGCAATGAGGTGTCCTCCACGCCCACCTGCTTATACAGTACTGTACCTCTTATACACCTGCTTATACAGTACTGTACCTCTTATACACCTGCTTATACAGTACTGTACCGCTTATACACCTGCTTATACAGTACTGTACCGCTTATATACCTGCTTATACAGTACTGTACCTCATACACCTGCTTATACAGTACAGTACCGCTTATACACCTGCTTATACAGTACTGTACCGCTTATACACCTGCTTATACAGTACTGTACCGCTTATACACCTGCTTATACAGTACAGTACCACTTATACACCCGCATATACAGTACTGTACCGCTTATACACACGCTTATACAGTACTGCACCGCTTATACAGTACTGCACCACGTATACACCCGCTTATACGGTACTGTACCGCTTATACACCTGCTTATACAGTACTGTATCGCTTATACACCTGCTTATACAGTACAATAACATCTTCAGAGCCACTTATCTGTGAAGTGTACATTTGCACTTAACCTTAGAATTCATGTGAATGACGAGTAATAGCATTTGATGAATTTCTGGAGCCCACTGTATCCATTAGGAAAGACCACTAGGATGCCCCCCCCCCCCTGCCGGAAGCCCGGAGCACGCAGGCTGACTTGGCCCCCATGTGGCATTTGGGGCAGCAGCGACAGTTTTCCTCTATAACAGACCTGACAGAAAAACAAACAGGTCTGCTGATAACCTATTATCTCCTCTTTGATAACTGTTCTGTTTAAAAGGTCAGTAAAAAAAAGAAGCATGACAAAACAAGCTGAATTCCATTCAATATTTCTATATCAAGAATCTGCAATTAATAATTCATTAGCTGTATCTGAAATACAACATGAATCCAAACAAAAGTTTGGATGTAATATAATTGTGGAAAAAACTAAATGTCAGTTGAATTTTTGTTATTTCAATTTCATAAACAGCACCAAATTTGAATAAAATCATGTAAAAAAAATAATAATAATAATAATAAAAAAAAAGAATAGCACCTGCATACGCGGGCCGGGCCCCCCCCGGGCAGGAGCCGAGCCCAACACCCACAACAATTAACAGGCAGAAACCTTTAGCATCTGCCATGAGAGAACATGTGATTTGCAGCAGATGTGATTCAGGTGGTTGGACAATCAGAGCCTGAGAAGCAGAGACTCAGTGACGTACGGCAACATTCAATCTCTAAACTCTCTGACACTCTCTCATCTGGCACATTAGGCTAAGAGCAGAAAGAAGCCCATGCAGGCAAAGCATGTGATAGCAACACTTACCCTGGTGGCACACTGAAGCACACTTATGATTCCTGCAGCCCAGCGTACGATTGCAGTGCTGGTCACATGGTGGGCAGTTTCCCGGGCAGCACTGCAAAGGGAATATTTTGCATGCCTTTGTGAGGACAGACACTTCACATGGGAACCGTCTGGCTGCTGGATGCCACATTCCTGCCTACAAGACTCTTGTGGAAAGACAAGTGAAGATGGACCGGAGACGACAGCTGTACACTGCTCTCTCTACAAGTTGTGGCATAGCATGTGAAACAGATCAGTTATCGACAGTTTGCACTATTTCCACAGTGATACCTGCTAAAACAGGTGACCAAACTAACTCAAAGCAGATAATTTAGACAGCTTTTTCAAACTGATGTGATGCCCTCTCCCTCTAGTGGCAGGCAGAGTAACTTCACGTTCTTTCACCATTGCCGAGCGTACATCCAGATGGCAGACTGCAGACACACTACTTATTTACTACAAAGAAACCAGTCACCTTCCGCCGGCACTGGTGCCGCTGGCAGCTGCGGGTTCGCGGGCACTTGGACTCGCAGAGGAAGACCTTGTGGCAGGGCATGCTTCGTGAATACTTCCCACAGCGGCACTGCTTCTCCACCTCCTGCAGCAGGTACAAGGGCAATGCGGGTCAGGGACGCACTGCACTGCATTGCTCAGAGCCATTAAAGTGTGCAGAACCACCCACTGTGCCAAGGTTAGTGTGCACAGTGTAACTGGGAAGGTCTGATCGCTACAGCAGTAGCAGTGATGGCAAGGGTCTGGCCAGGACAAGAAAAACCCACCCTTTAGTATAACCCGTTTGGCTGTGGGTTAAGGACAGCAAACAAATGCCTAAGGCAGGGGTGGGGAACCTGTTCCATAGAGGGCCAATGTGGGAGCAGGTGTTTGGGGTGGCCTCTCAGCCAATAACAGTGGCTGACAGAGGTCATCTCAAAAACCTGCACCCACACTGGCCCTCAGTGGATCAGGTTCTCCACCTCGGGACCAAGGGGAACACGGCTATCAGCCAATAGCTGTTGCTGGCATGACAGTCGCACACTAATATCTGTAATAAAGGACAGAAAAGAGGGAACTATGCACAGCAGAAATGCTGGTTGGAGATAATACACATTTTACTGCGTTTTCACACAATCTGTATTTACTTTGTCATGGGAGAATGGGCACCATCTAGTGGTTGTCAGTGAGACACACAGGCTATCCAGCTCCATAAGCACACAGTCGCTGAAGGGCCCCTCACCTGCCGACATGTCTCACAGTGCCCCCGGTGGCAGCGCATGGAGCAGCAGTGCAGGCCGCAGTCCAGAGGCTTGCCGCAGGTGTCTCCACACGTGGGCACGTCCTTGGTGCAGGGCAGCGAGAACTCTGAAAGCACCGGACACGGGAGCCCTAAGAACGCCACACGCAGCACGGCAAGTGAGAGGAACGGCGTTACATACGCGATGCGGGTCGTCGCGGGGACGCCCCGCACCGGCCTGGCACTCACTGGATTTCCCACAAGGGCAGAGCCTGTTTCCCGAGCGAGGACACTGGCCACAGGATCCAGAGTGACACACCCGCTCACACGTGTGATTCCCACAGGGTAGAGGCCTCCCACACACCTGGACGGGGCCATGAGGCAGCATTTAGCATCACATGCAGCACATGGTCACGGGGATCATGAAAACTGAAAACAATGCCTGTCAGGGGTTCAGCAAACACCAAAAAACAATGTAGCACATCACCTGTTGACAGTGCCAGAGCGGACTGGCACAGAGCCTCTGGGAGAGCTCTCTGCCACAAACACAGGCCTGTTGGCTCACCCGAGGGCATGGCTCACAGTCACCTGTGGAGGACCAGAACAGGAGCACACAAGCAGATCAAAGCACTAGATCCAAGTGCAGCTCACGGTTAGCCCTTCCACACCAAGGCTCGTCCCCACGCTGAGCCAAAATTCCGACCCGGGCGTTGCATTCCCACCAAGAACAGCAGCGGTGCAGGGCCAATGTATCTGGGCCGTAGCTCATTTTTCCCTCCCCAAAAGACTGAGGGCCAGAGTTAGGAGCGCATGACGTCAGGAGGTGGGGTCAGAGTAGTCAGAGCAGAAAGCAAAAGTTTCCGAAGCAATGCGGAGTGAACTGGAGAAGGCAGGGCTTATCAGAATAACAGAGCAAGCTGCTCTGACTTTTTAAAAATGAAAAATACAGGAAGTTGAAAAGAGCTAAATAAAAATGGTCCTGGAAATAGACCTGCTAAACAGGAAACTGGACCATTGCGGTGACTGCTTTGGAGGATTCGGGTAAGTTGCTGTTATTGTGTTTACTTGTAATGTGACCATGAACTTGGCTAACTAATGAATTACCATTAGAATCTGACGTCGGTGTACCAACCCTTGAAAGCTACCTGCTTTGTCACAGCAATGAAAATAACACTCACACTATCGTGCTTTAAATGTCAGTAAATAAAAGTGAAATTTATCTATTGTGTCTTTTGTGTGATTGTTTTAACACAGGTGAACAGAATGCAGACGGACAGGAGCATCACCTCATATTTATCCCATGTGAAAGACTCACATTTTTTGATTATTTGTAAAATAAATGTTTACCAAAATGTTTCATTCTTTTCTTGTCTTCACTCTCCCTATTAAAGTAGTCCATTAATGCATGTTGCACAGTAGTTCCTTCAGCATCCTGTACTTTATGTGCATTTGTGCTGATCTGACAAGAAATTACTGTGCATTTTAACCTTTATAAGCTAATTTGTACTTCATTTGTGGTATAAAGGTTGAAATGCACGGTAATTTCTTGTCATAGCAGTGCAAATGCACATAAGTACGCATTTGCGCTCTTACAACAACTGCCACACACATCGCTTTTAAAGGTTAATGCATACATGTGTTACAGTTGTCCCCAAATATTAGCATGCATGACTAGAAGTTCATCCATGAATGCATCTCCAATTGCGACCTGCTTCTTAACTGGAACACACAAACGGTAGTTCATGTGGGACCGCTGAAGTTGTTGGCAGATGTACCCAAATGACTCGCGGGACACTCAGAAATTTTGAATGAACTGTTTTGGGTTAAACCCAGGAACAATAACAAAGCTAAAAATAATGTGTTTGCAGTAAATTCAAAGTCTTGTGCTTATCGCATCTCGCACGGTCCTCCATTTTTGTCTTCACTTCCGAAATGGCACCCCTTCCACAGCAACAGGCACACGATGACGTCATCGTTCTACCCTTTCAGAACCAGGTGCAGTGTGAATGCGAGACAGTATTTGGTGGGGCTCCAGCCAGGGCTTCATGTGAAAGAGCCATGCAAGGCAGCTACAGATGAAGAACAGATCAAAAGAATACAGGCAGATCCCAGTGCAGCTGACTGAGGCAGTTACAGCCCACTAGTGCTCACCAGAGTGTAGAAAAATGAGAATGGGCTACAAACTGGCTGTCGACGAGTACAGCGCCTACCTGCGTGGCACAAGCTCTCACAGGGGTGCTGGCCGCAGCGCAGCAGACGGCCGCAGGGCTGCAGGCAGGACCAGGCCTTGGAGCTGCAGCGTCTGGCCACGGGCTTGGCCTTCTTGCAAAAACACGTCACCTGCACCATCTTTGGGCAGGGGGGGCAAGGACCTGGGCAAGCACAAGCTAGAGCTTCAGAGTCTGGCCTACAGAGTAGCTGCATCGCACGCATTAAAAACAACAATTGAGTAAAAATCCCTAGAGGGAATATAAAAACACGCTGGTTCAAATAAGCCTACAGCTGAAATGCATCCAAGGCATGCAAACAAACGGACAAGCGGTTAGACCCAAGAAACCCCCACCAAGAAAAAGGCACAGTACCTGGGTGACAGAGCAGCAAACAGCGATGTCCACAAGCTGGCCTGAACTCTCTGTCACACACCTGACCGCAGGAGTGAGGGAGCAGCCAGGGGTCCAGCTGGGGATCCTGCACCTTCCCGCAGTAGCAGTGATACCTGTGGGGCGTCTCCTGGTGCTGGTATTCACGACGGCACTTTGGGCTGCCCAAAAACGAGGATCCGGAGTTAGGGCGAGCTTGACCAGTGTGCCATCAAATATGTGGTCCAGGAGATCCTCCTACCACGGCCAGGGGTGCTCCTTCTTCCCAAAGTCCTCATCCGTCACAGAGGACACAAGGAAAATGCTGTCCTTGGCCCACTTCTGAATGCAGGGCAGATGGAACAGACAATAGCAACCCCAACAGCTCCATACCTAGGAAAGATGACAGACACCAGTGTTACGCGCCAAGCTGGGCTCAGAGGAACTGACACTGCAGCCTAGTTTGCCTGATTCTTTTCTTAGGAGCCAAACAGGCCAAAATAAAAGTGCTGTAAACCAGGAAGTTTGTTTCTTAACTGAACCAAACAAAAGATACAAATAAAACACGAAAAAATTTCCCTCTCGCCCTATCTAGTCAAAACAGCAAGAACATAAAACACAAATCAAAACAAAATGGTGCTGCACTACCTACTGCCCAGCTGCTCTTAATTTAATCAACATTTGTAAATTTTACACAGACATAGCCGTGGCCAAACATTTTGAGAATGACACAAGTATTGGTTTTCACAAAGTTTGCTGCTTCAGTGTTTGTAGATCTTTTTGTTAGATGTTTCTATGGTACACTGAAGTATAACTACAAGCATATGTCAAAGGCTTTTATTGACAATTACATTAAATGCATGCAAAAAGTTAATATGTGCAGTGTTGGCCCTTCTTTTTCAAGACCTCTGCAATTCACCCTGGCATGCTGTCATCTTCTGGGCCAAATCCTGACTGATGGCAGCTCATTCTTGCATAACCAATGCTTGGAGTTGGTCAGAATGTGTGAGCTTTTGTTTGTCCACCTGCCTCTTGAGAATTGACCAAAAGTTCTCAATGGGATTAAGGTCTGGGGAGTTTCCTGGCCATAGACCCAAAATGTTGGTTTTGTTCCCCGAGCCAGTTAGTTATCACTTCTACCTTGTCGCACGGTGCTCCATCATGCTGGAAAAGGCATCGTTCATCACCGAACTGTTCTTGGATGGTTGGGAGAAGTGGCTTTCAGAGGATGTTTTGATACTATTCTTTATTCATGGCTGTGTTCTTAGGCAAAATTGTGAGTGAGCCCACTTCCTTGGTTGAGAAGCAACCCCACACATGGTCTCAGGATGCTTTACTGTCGGCACGACACAGGACTGATGGTAGTGCTCACCTTTTCTTCTCTGGACAATCTTTTTTCCAGATGCCCCAAACAATCGGAAAGGGGATTCATCAGAGAAAATGACTTTACCCCAGTCCTCAGCAGTCCAATCCCTATACCTTTTGCAGAATATCAGTGAGACCCTGATGTTTTTCTTGGAGAGAAGTGGCTTCTTTGCTGCCCTTCTTGACACTAGGCCATCCTCCAAAAGTCTTTGCCTCACTGTGCGTGCAGATACACTCACACCAGCCTGCAGCCATTCCTGAGCAAACTCTGCACTGGTGGTGCCCTTTAGGAGATGGTCCTGGTGCTTCAATCTTCACAACGATTGAACCTCTCTCCTTGAGGTTCTTGTTGATCGGAAAAATGGTTGATTTAGGTACAATCTTACTAGCAGCAATATCCTTGCCTGTGAAGTCCTTTTTGTGCAGAGCAATGACGACTGCATGTGTTTCCTTGCAGGTAACCATGGGTAACAGAGGAACAATGATTTCAAGCACCAGCCTCCTTTTAAAGCATCCAGTCTGCTATTCTAACTCAATCAGCATGACAGGGTGATCTCTAGCCTTGTCCTCATCAACACTCTCACCTGTGTTGACGAGAGAATCACTGAAATGATGTCAGTAGGCAGGGCTGAAATGTAGTGGAAATGGGTTTTTTGGGATTAAGTTCATTTTCATGGCAAAGAGGGACTTTGCAATTAATTGCAATTCATCTGATCACTCTTCATAACATTCTGGAGTATATGCAAATTACCACCATAAAAACTGAGGCAGCAGACTTTGTGAAAATCAATATTTGTGTCATTCTCAAAACTTTTGGCCATGGCTGTATGTATGCGTGTGTGTGTGTGTGTGTGTGTATATATAAAACTACAGGCTATTTGCAGTGTGATCCAAAACAAGAAGGATACGTATTAAGCATATTTTCACTTCATCCAAAAAGAAATGCAAAGCACACTAATGAATACAGTGAGGGGAACATGAGGCTACTGCTCAATTTGCCACCCTCAGCATTTCACAAAAGCAGGTGAACAGGGCGATGTACTGGGCAGGCAAAGCAGCAGTGCACAGGGAAACAATCTGGAAGAAATTAGGCCAAGAGCTTCAAATACCGCCTGATTTCTTTTCACGGACGCAATACAGATGAGGCAGGTGATGGCACCAGACTGAAAAGCATCGTTCAGATATCGCCTAGTACGTTCCAGATCTTTGGCATCTCCACCTGAGGAACAGGACAGAAACTCATATAGAACACTGTCATCATGTTGACATGTGATGCAGTAAAAATGTAAAAATATTATTTACAATTATAAGCAACACAAAGACCTTTTTAGAGCAACCTTTACATCTTAAACACTTCGTCACCTGTCTGATCTGTATATGATGTGAATGTCGAATCCAAAATCTTCCCACGTTTGCCATTCAGCTCTACGTCACCATCATCTTCATCATCCGATGATGAGCTGTAGTGGCTCTCTGTAAACCTCTGCGCTGCTGCCTGATTTGACCTTTGTATTTCCTCAAACTTGGACTGAGAAGACAGCTCTGAAAATTAAAAAATTCACATATGTGAGTGGCTGACATAAAATATGTTGGGAAGTTGGAGAGATGTTTCAAAGGGTGCTTTCGCACTGAAGTTCCTGTTCCTGGTTCCAAGTTCCTGGGCTATCTCAACCAGGAACTTTTGTAGCTTTTGGGCACTTTCAGGTGCCACTTTCCCATCACACAACATGAACTGTAACCTTTATGTTAAATAAGCATGGCAGAGTCAAAAAGCTCGCAGGTTAATCTTCACACGTAATTTCATATGAAACACACTGCCACCCCAAAACAAAAGAGGATGTACGAGTCGTTTTGTTATCATGACCAAAATGGGACACAGCCTTTTATTTATATTTTATACAACCCATGGCATTTAAAATTCATTATTAAATTTGGCCAGCAGATTGATCTATCATTTTCCACACAATAAATAATGATAATGTAACGTTATTCTGATAAGCACTGGCAAGTTTCAACGCCGGCATCAGAAATAGTATTTAAGTCATTGACCGTGTTTTCCGATGCAGAAATGTGGAGAAAAAAGCAAAAAGATAATCATTAATGCATTTCATATAATGGATGTGCAAAAATAATTCCATCAGCTCATGTTTTGATCCACTACTTTTATCTCTTTTCCTAGCACCTCCGTGCAGCTTCCAAGTTGCCACCGGGGCTTGTGGTATGGCTGCAAGCCCCAGCCCAGTAATTTGTGGTCAAACAAAATGTACGTAGTCTGGAGTAGTAGTTCCTACCTTGTTTGGTCCCAAGTTCCCACCGTGGGAACACAAAAATAGTACCGGAAAATTGTTCTGGTTACTTAAAAAAGTACATGAGGTGTTAAAGTGCCCATAGTGGCACCATCAGAGGCTGGCGTACCTTTGCTAGGGAGTGGTCCAGATGCTGTACCTGGTACGCCTGTTTTGCTTCTTTTTGTTCCATCCAGCTTGGCACTGGAGTGCAAGCTGCCCCTTTGCTGGCTGAGAGCGGGATCAGGCAGGGTCGGGCCCCTCCCTTGGCCCCTGCCTCTCCCCCTCCCCTGCTGTCGCCAAGCAGGCTCCATTGGTGTCACTCCTCCCTGAGTAACATCAAAAAAATTCAGACATTTATTGTCCTCAATGTCATATCAATAAGCTGTTCAGTCACACGCACAAACATCCCCATTAACATAGGTAAGCATTTGTACCCATTTGCACTATCACAAAACTACTCCACGCACACACACGGGAATCAATTGAAAAAAAAATTAAATCACAGAGTTTTAAAAAATAATAAAATGCATAATCATCAATATTTATTCATCCATCCATCCATCCATCCATTTTCCAACCCGGATTTATTTAGGTTGGATTTATTTAGATTGAGTGTCCACCATGATGGATTCCTTTGAAACAAATTCACAATTCATCCTAGGCTAAATATGGACCTAAAAAAAAAGTTAACGCAAATGTCTCTTGAACTTTTAAAAAAGACGCTACTTTTACTTGAGCTTCTGCCGATTCATTTTTCACACACAACTAGGAAAAACAAGGAAAAACTCCCTAGAAGGGAGAAACCTTGGGGGGGATCAGATTCAAAGGAGAAACCCATCCTCCAGGGGATGGCAGAGGAAGTCAAAGTCAAATGAGCAAGATGGCAAAAGTCCCAATTTACACTATCCAAATTTTAAGTTTCAAATCCCTTAGAGAAAAACCTTAAGGGATTTACTGCATTGAAAGACATTTTACAGCAGTGAAATTGTACCATTTTCATGGTTACCGTTTGTTTGCATGCACTCACACCTGTTTGTGATACCTGTTATCGCCTCCAGTGTAAATTTCATTGACAAAAATGTTGATGAAATCATCATCACAGAAAAACCCTTCATCAGAACTAAAACAAAAATGTAACTAAAATATGTTAATGACAATGATGAAATTAAACATTATTCATCTAACGAATGTAGATAAAATAAAGCTGGATTGTCACCACTGCATTATTATCTGATGCGAATGTGGACAGTTTCCCTTGGTGTATTTTACTCACTACGAGTAGGTAGTTTTCGATCAACTAAGTACTACTGAATGGGTCATATGGCAACCACTTTGCTGAATGGAAGACAAGAAGCACCGGCACTAACTTGGATGATACACAGAAGTACTGAGAAAAGAAGTAGTAGAGGAAAAAATTGAGCAGATGGAATTATCGTATCTCCATATCGTATCTCTCCGTCAGTATTACACACACACACACACACACACACACACACACACACACAGTACTGTCTTGGACATCCAGAGAAAGTGATGGTTACATGATCATCCTGTTGGTGTAAATTTTCTCTCTGTAAAAGTGTATCAGCTTCGCTATTTCAAAACCCCAGGATTTGCAGTAAACATCTAAAGTTTGCAGACGCATACCATGTTTGGATAATCAATACCTCATCGAGTTAATGAATTAATCGAGCTGGTGGTCAAACTTAAATAGATGAAATGGCTGGGGTGCCCCTGAAGAGCGGTTTTGACACTGCTCTTCTAGCCATCCAAGAAGAAATCAATGACTTTTCGGAGGGCAAAAGAAAATCTTGTTTTTACTCTATTGCTGGTAATTTTCTAATGTTTTCTTATTGTGAGCAAATGCACACTTATTACCCACATAATGGTTTAATTCGCTTGCCGTACTTATATTCACTAGCCGTACCTGTTAAATGTGACTAGCACACTGGTTTAAATCGGGCGTTATAGTAGCACGTCGCAGTAACCGTATCTGTTTAATGGTTTAATTCGGTCATTTCGTGTCAAGTAAAAGTGGTTTATTGAATAACCAGGCATTTGTACAGTTTAGCCGAGTAACACAACGTGTTTTAACATATGAATCGATTCGTCTGACGCCGTACTACAACGCATGCAGCAGAACTGCGACATTATAGTATATTAACATAATGAGTTTTGCTTAAAGCTCCATTGAGAAGACAACATACCCAAGCCGGGAAGACGCCGCTGACACGCGCACAACAAACCGAAGTGCACGCTGGGTCTTCCTGGCGCAATGCACGCCGGGAAACATGGTAACCTATGACCAGATTTCTAGCCTATGTCTTAATAGAAATTAATAGAAAATAATCTATGGCTGTGGACTGCTACTCTTCATGAAAATTCAATTCTATAGAGAAGTAATTAAATATCGGTTTATTAACAAACGTGTCTGAAATGTCACAGTTTCGTTAAAGTTCCTAAATTGCTACTGAATCGCGTCAAAGCCTGAATTTTCAAAACTACAGATCCCGTGATTCCTTGTGCGTTTCAAACATCCAACTAAATACTAATACGTTGCTTTTTTTGCAAACAACAAAAAAGAATTTGTTTTACATTTACACAAAAACGATCTTAATGGACAGAATATGAATATGATTTAATAATTTTCATGTAATACAAACAATATGCAAAGAAACACTCTTTACACCTCCTTCCGCTTTGTTTGTGAAAGTCTAAGTTTAGCAACATCAGTAATTCTCTGATATAAAATGTTTCATGTTTATGTCATGAAAATGTAAAGTTCCCCAGTACTAGTACTACCGGGTAAAGCACTTTCATTGTATGTATTTTCTTCCCTTCTGACCCAGTTTTGCTTGCCTTTCGATTAGTAATAGTACTAAATTTCTCATTGGTGATTAAATATTTATTTGTAGGTTAGGTCGTTGATACAGGATGGACATCTCCAGGAATATCCAGGAATCTGTCCAATAACTCTGTCATTGGGATAATGCCCCCAAGCTATTGGTAACCTGTTTCAAGAAATACAATGTTCTGTAATGATTGAAGGATTTAAGTACTGCCAGAGTGAGCGAGGACACCAGGTGTTATTTTGTTAAAGGCTTACTATATCGAGTACCTTCCTGATTCATAAACAAACAAAACCAGAAATATATTTAATTACAGTATAATATCATGCTGTTCGCCTACAAAAGTTGTCTATTCTGTTCTATTTCTTTGCTTTTAAATTTCAGGTATTATCCCAATTAATTAAACCAAGTCTGCCCAAATCTGCTCCTGGAGCTAGAGTTTACCTCCTTGCAGGTTAAAGGATGCAATAACATCCACATAATCAGTGAACAGAATAACAAACAGTATTATACAACCAACAGATTTGTTAGTCTCAGAGCTTTTAAGCCAACACTGCACAATGATTTCAGTTTATACTCTTGTTTTTTCAACTAAAGATAGATCACAGTCATTTTTCCACTCAACTTGTGACATTGTAACAGTTAAGAAATGCTCAAATACTGTCAATAAACATTTATCCAAGTTAATCTTCTGTGCCATTCTTTGGTTTTTTTCTGGTCTGGTTCTATTTTTCTGTCAGTTCTAATCCAGTATATGTCCAATCAGATATATATATTCTTATAATCTTCATATAATGTACCTCATAAAGTTAACTTGTAATTTTATCATTGCAATAATACTTTTGGGTAACACTTAAGGTCATGTTTTAGTCATTTAAACACACTCATAACAAATAATAATGCATCCATAAACCATTATAAACATGGCTATAAATACTTATGCTTCATGAAGCTGCCATCTATAATGTACTAAAGATGCCCTTTAATGCATTGCAGTGGTTAGTATAAGCATTAAGGATGCTTTGTACTGCATTACAAAAGGTATCTAAGGTGTATTATAGATGAGAGCTTCATAAGCCACAATAAACATGGCTGTAATGTTATGCCTTTTCATAAATACGTATAGCCTAAATTTTATATTAAAACATGGCATTAAAATACACATTGTATATATTAAAATTTGGTATAGTATATAATATACAATTTTGGATTTATTTTTATGTGAGGAACTGCACAAAGTTTGCACAAGCTTTGAAAGGGAAAAACATGGTTTTTAATTCTTTTTCCTATTTCTTTCTCACATTCCCTTTCTACTTTTTTCTTAGACCCCAGCAGTTGCAGCACCGACTGGGTCCACCGTTTGAGAGGAGATTATGATTTTTTTCTCTAGCTTATTGACTCTCTGCTTCAGTTTCAGCTGTGCGGCCTCATGCTCTGCCAACAGCCGGGCAAACTTGGTCTGCAGGAGGTCTACGGTGCCCGTCATGCTGTTCACCTTCTCCTCCATGTCCTTAGGGTCAGGGCCCTGCTTGGCCACTTCTAAATCTAGGAGGCCATCTTTCATGAGGATCTGCCTTCCCTTTTCTTCTAGCATAGCCTTGGCATCAGGGTACTCTGTCAGAGCTTCCATCAAGTCATCTTTGGACAGGCAGAAGAGGTCTGAGTATCCAATGCTGCGAATGTTAGCAGTTCTGCGATTTCCAGCTTTACTGCCCTTGATGTTCAAAATACTAATCTCGCCAAAATAGCTTCCATCACTAAGGACTACAAACTGTGTGACGCCATCATCTGCCACCACTGCTAACTTTCCTTCCTTGATGATGTACATCTCCCTGCCAATGTCACCCTTTTTGCAGATGTAGTCCCCAGGGCTGAACACCTGAGGCTGCAGTTTCAGCACCAGTTCCACCAGCAGCCCTGCCTCGCAGTCAGCGAAGATGCGAACCTTCTTCAACGTGTCCAGATGGACATTGATGGCAATTTCAGCCCTCAATTTATCTGGTAGGTATTTCAGCACCTCTCTCTCATCTACAGCTTTCTTATTTGTCCACAAGTAGTCAAACCACTTTATGACTCTTTTCTCCAGGTCCTTGGTGACCTTTCGAAAGCTCATATACTGCTTTATTGCGTCAATTCTGGCCTGAAAGTCGGCTCTTGCTGCATTCATATTGGAAATCATGGAACCAACATTACCTACAATGGTAGCAAAAATCAAAACACCCACCAAGAAGTCAAAAACCACAAAAAAATACTCAGAGTTCTGAACTGGGGGAGGGGTTTCACCAATGGTAGTTAAAGTCAGGGTGGACCAGTATAAACTGTATGCATATTTTCTGACCAGACGTCCGTACTCAGGGTGTGAGACATTAGGGTAAACAAACGTGTCTGATCCGAATCCAATAGCCTTGGAGAAAGAGTAGTACAGACATGCGTTCCAGTGGATGATAATTACAATGTACATGACGAGATTTGAAATACGAAAGACATTAGGGAAGTTGGTCCTTGTCTCTGTTCTCTGAAAGAACTCAAACATGCGATTAACACGGAACAACTTGTTGAGGCGAATCTCTGGATAGCGGAGTCCCAGTTTGAAGTATAGGATGTCAGTTGGGATCATTGATATGAGGTCGAGCTTGAACTGCAGGCTTTCCACGTATCGCTGACGCAGCTTCATTTCATCTTTCACAAGCAAGCCCTGCTCAAGATATCCTGCAAAAATTCGAGAAAAACAAACCAGTGACTAATATGCAATACAATAAATTGAATAATTATTAAATATATTTAATATTTGCATGGATGGGAAAATGTCTGCAGGATTGTCAATTTCTGGATATTTTTATCGTGTATTAAATTAAGCTACCTGTTCTGGTCCTGAACGCCATGTCAGCCAAGTATACGATGTCTGATAAACAGTCTACGATGAACCACAAAATGAGATAGTCCTGTTGTAATTCTTCAAAGCAAGCTCTGCAAAGATACAAACAACAAAAGTTTTAGCACTGTGCACTGATTTTATCATTTATTGTTTTTTTATTTACTTTATATTTTTCAGTCAATACAGAAGCATTATTGATTCTCACTGTATTTCACTGTATCACACTGCATGTTTGGAAAGGTTCATTAGAATGAGCTGAACAAACAGCCTCCTTCATATGTTAAGGACAAATCAGCACTGGCCACTGGGGCATGCTTAGTTTTACTTAGGTTTATTTGCAGTTTTTCTGTCTTGATGCTCTTAATACTAACGAACAGCCAGCGTTCCACCAGATTTTTGCTACCTGGCAATGATTAAGGTCCAGTTATACATGACCGGCATGGTGATGACAATCAGCCAGTGGTAGTATCTGTTGCTGGCCGGGTCGGTAACATAGATTTCCTTTGGCCTGCAAAGAAAAAGCACGAAGAGTGAATCGGCGGGTGAATTTAAAGAATTGATGTGTCTTTGACGTAAACACACTTGCTGCAACCCACGTGTCCGTTTTCTCATTCTTTTCTTTTTCTTTCTCTGTGTTTTCTTTCTTGTCCTTCTTTTCCTTTTTCCTAAAACAAAAACATCAGTAACTTATTACTGTGATCATCATTTTTGCTCAGAATATTGTTTTAATAAAGGTATGCGTATATGCTTACTTCTTTTTTGCTTTTTTGTCCGTCTTTTCCTTTTTCTTTTTCTGCTTGCCTCTGAAAGAGAGCAGTTTAAGCTGAAAAATGCAGGTATGTGTACAGTATGTTCATCTCGGAGATGTTGAGCCCATACTCACTCCGCATTGTTATTGCTGTTGTTCAGGTTGAGGCGGAGAGCTGGTTCAGACTCACACTTATTTCTGTGAAGTAAAATGAGCTGATATCACTGAGAGTGGTCTTCATGTGAAAGGCACGTAAGATGGGCGATCTTCATGTCACTGTGGGTTAGTTTTACATGTGTAATAAGTTCTCGCTTACGTTTGCCCTTTACCATCCTCCTGTGTGCTTGTATCCTTGTCCTGTAGCACTGTTCCACGATGGACTAGTGGGGAACGTTGTGGCTTGATCTTGGATGACATCAGTGCTGTGTTGTCTGTTATCCTTCAGATGATAATAGGGGGCACCCAGAAACCATCTGCTATTGTCAGCAAATTAAACTAGATTAATTAGACAGCAATGAAGCATGAGTGGATGTGTGGGTGCATAAGAAAAACAGGCATATGAGAACAATCTCATATTAATGAGGCAGATAAATGATTCTTCATTTAAAATATGTGGGGGCTACCATACAAAGAACAGTTCAGAATATTATCACACTGGCTTCATGTTCTTCATGTTCTTCATGGCTGTTTACACACCATCGATCTAACTATATATATGTACATATGTGTTTGTCTGTGTGTGTGTGTGTGTCTTTGTACATTTATATGCCCCAACACACATTTACAGAATTATAGTCTGACACCTCCAAGGGTTCAGATCTCACCCCTGATCTATGTCTATAGATTTTCTATGTACTGTTGCATTTCTCACCACTACATAAGCAGGTCCTGCTCCAGTAGATCAGCATATATGTTTATGTGAATTGGCTGTAGTATCTACAGTATGGGCCATTCCACCGAATCAGTGCAATTTCTGCCCCCAGGACATTATATTTATAAATACACATGAAAAATTAGCTTTATAATACATGTTGATATCAAGCAGAGTGTCCTCTGCATTGTCCTCATTGCAAATTTAACATACATAATGTAAAACATTAATGAGAACTACATAGAACTCTGAGAAATGTCACCTGTCCCAATGAGCAAATATGTCACCTGTCCCAATGAGCAAATATGTCACCTGAGCAATGCTACATATCACCATGAAATATGACTAAAAACCTTTAAAAATCTTATATAAATCAATAATATTCTAGTTAAAATACACATTTTAGTGGTGCCCCCAGGTTTTCACGCAGTCCTGTTACCTTAATACATTACTGCACCTAAAAAAATTGGCACTTTCCACAAATGGCATGTTCACCTATAACTTGCATCATCTCAGTCACCTGAAGACCACAGGAAAACCAAAAGTAAGTTCTCTCTCTTTCCTGTATTTTTGATGATATTGTAAGTATGTCTGAGGTAGTCAAACTCAATACTCAGTCCTGTTACTCAGATTATTTCTAAGATCTAATTCATTTATTTGTTAAAAAAATATGCATTTTTAGTAAGTTGCTTGAATGGACTCAACATCATCATACTATTATGTTTGACATGTGGCCATGGTTCATGAATGTGCTACTTTTATGATAAAACTAAGTCCTGATACTTTCAGTAAAAGTACACATACTGTATAGTGATTTTTAAGCACACACAAAATGTGTTTGTGTGTGTGTGTGTGTGTGTGTGTGTGTAGGACATGTAACCAATAATTTCTTTAAAATACACACTTTATTGAGGGGAATACAAAAGAACTTGTTGATTTGTTTTTCAATTGATATTTAAACAGTTGCTTGAGATTTTTATAACAGGATTGAGAAAAATGCAACCACATTCCATCCAAAAACTTTGACAAAATGAAATAAAGTTACCTGAGACTGATCACTGCACATTTTGAATAGCTTAATACACGTATACAGTATGTTATTATTCAGAGTTGAAAAAGATGAAAAAAATTAAATTTATTTTTGAAGATTTATAACATGCAACTGGCACGAATTCAGTGGAATCACCTACATATGGAGGTATATGCATATGGAGTATCTGCCAAACACTGTATTGACTGGACCTCTCTTTACACCTTAATTTGAGGGTGCATAATCTCCACTGGGCTGTAAAAATATCCTTATAACGTGATAATCACATACAGAGTCCAGGCTGACATTCACAGTCATGCAAATGTTAATATCAGTTAAGTATTCCACAATAACTCATCTTCTCTACTCTGGATTTAAAAAAGGGAACAAAATTGTCAAAGGCATTACTTTAATAGGTAGAAAGGAACTGTGATACTGCTTTTGTTCAAACATTGATTAAAAATGTATCTCAAATATATTTCTCTAAATGGAATATAACAATAAATCTGTATAAACTACATGTTTCTTGTAAAATTTAGTAGTGAAATTAAATGACTTACCCGAAGCTCGTCTTCCCTATATCCTGTTCCCTGGTGTACCTAAAGGCTCCTCTACATCCTCAAAGGCAAAATCATTTTTAATTCCTCAGAGAAACATTACATACCGTTAGTGAGTCAAATAACATCACTATTTATCAGTTTCAGTCTGACTGTTTTGCTGTCATTAACTTCATTGACCCGAAGGAGGCTTTGGGGATTTAGACTTGGGTACAAATGACAGTTGCAAAGTCCCTGTGACCCCCCCACCCCCACCTGACAGGCAACTCATTAATATGAAAGAGGATCACTGCTGAGTTGTTTTTCTTACCTACATAAATGAATTTATGCTCTAAAATAATCACGATGACATTGCAGGTGTTGACATTGGTTGCATGTTTTCAGTAACAAAAAATGACAGTCGGTTTATGTGTGTCACCATATATTTCTGATTGCTAGCTGTACGGTTTAAATACCCGTTTAAATCTGAGGTGCAAAAGATGCATTAGTTAATGAGTAATTTGGAGGTGATTTTTAAACAGTAAAAATCTGAATCTGCCTCCTCATAGATGGATCTCACCCTGGGTTTGGTTCACCTTGAGTCTGGAGCAGCAGAGATCCCTGGATTACTCTCACTAGGCTCACTGGCTTGTTTCCTTCTCTGCCCTGTCAGCACTCTGCCATATCCCGTAATCTCATTTAAGCAAACTATCTGCAGCTTCTACAGCCTTCATCTTCTTCTCACTGAACAGATACTGAAGCCAGAGGCCCTCCCTGCTTCCACTCTTATGATGGGGCCAGAGCCCCTTGTTTTTCTCTCCATCTGTCATTTACATTTGCCAAAATCCGAGAATATACTTAAGATACACCAGTACGGATCAGGAAGAAGGATGTAATCTTAAAGAATGAATGAAGAATATATACATGTTTCATTTGTTAATAATCTAGCAATCCTGAACAAGGTACTGCCCCCAAGCACTGCTCAATTAGTAAAAATTTGCTTTAAACTACTTCAACACCATTTCACACAACTCAACCTCAGATTTAAGTCTGAAATAGGATAGAATGGTCAACCGTGTCAAAAGCAGCACTAAGGTCCAGAAGCATTAGCACAGTTGTGCTGTCAGCATCAGTTGCCATTGTTATGTCATTTACGACTTTGGTCAAGGCAGTTTCAGCTGCGTCCTGGGCAGAAGCCCGACTGGAAACAATCCAGTATGTTGTGTCTCTCCAAATATAAGTGAAGTTGAGCAGCATCTATTTTCTCCAGAACTTTTGTCAAAGGTATATAAGATTCTAACAACTTTCAATGCTGTTCGCTCAACCAAATAGTTACTTCAATATTAGTTCAAATACAAGAACTTGTGGCCTTAGGTGGAAATTAATGGGAGAAGATTTTAAGCTAGATTTGAGAAAGCACTTCTTTGCACAGTGTGTAGAATGGAATAGTCTTCCTGTTAGTATAGTGCAAGCTAAAACCTTGGGTTCCTTTAAATAAGAGCTAGATAAGATTTTAACAACTCTGAGCTATTAGTTAAGTTCTCCCCAAGCGAGCTTGATGGGGCAAATGTCCTCCTCTCATGTTTAAATTTCTTATCTTCTTATTTTCAGTACAGCACAAGGCATGCCGGTATGCGGACAATTTACGGTGTTGACCCCGTGGTGTCTTAATATGAATCTTTTTTATGAAACTTCAAGATTTGCTTTTTTGTCTTTACACTTTTAACCCCTACTTGTGACAAAAAAAAAACATTTTTTTAATAATATTAAAAAATCAAATGAGTAAACCACAGAAAACTGAATAAGTAATAGTATATCATTAATAATAATAATAATCAGTTATTATTCATTTTAATTCCTTTGAAATCATTCCTACACCAATGCTCATATATAATGGGGTTTCGGTTTCTTGTATTTTGAAAATACAAGAAATACAAAATATAAAATTCAAGTATTTTGATACAAATGACACTGATTTTTAATGATGTATGTCAAAGACAAACTGCGATTTTGTACTTCACATATGCTAAATGGCGTCTCCTCTCTGCATTGATATCCCCTTCCTCTCTCGCCTTTGCCCCTTGGCCCCTTCCGCAGGTTTCATCCTGCGGGATGACAGTGAAACAGCCTCCTGAGGTCTCCATGGAGATGCTGTCTGTCGCTGTGCTTGTCTGCTGCTCGGGGGGGCTGTCCTGGTCCCCAGCTGTACACCCACGGGAGATTTCCCAGCAGTCTGAGCGGACATGGCACCTCCCTGACCTTCTGCTGTGCTGGGAGATGGATCTGGTATATCATGGACTTCTGGATTGCGTGAGAGGCCATCCGGGCTGGGGGTGTCTCTGTCTGATTTCCCACCACTGTTTGTAAGACCCATGTTCTGGTTACCAGGAATCATGGCTACTAGAATCCCTCTGTACACAGTCTGTAATGAGAGTAGCTGTAAGGAACTGTGCCCAGTAAAAGCCATCAAAAAGTGACACCCATCAAACAATAACCTTTGTGCTTTTTAGAAAGATTAATGAGACCTAAGGTAGTTTGGTAACAGATTTTACGGCAGATTTTAAGTGTAATAATATTTATTAAGATTCACTGTGCTCACCGGTGGCTGAATCACTTCTTCGGAACTCACTGAGCCTGCCTGGGACAATTCATTGAACAGAGGAAAATTACATTTTTAAGAGTCTTTAAAACTATTTTATAGATCTTGCAATCCTTCAGAAACAAACTGAGCTCTTACCATCACAGGTTGCTGGATAATCACTGTATACACCTATACAGAAGCATAAATGTAGAAGCTTCTAAGATACACAGAATTTCTTTAAATGGCACATATGACTGATACTGATGCTCTCAATGTGACGAGGCCCTTACCGGAGGCTGAGCATCACTGTCTGCTAATGGATCTGTCAGCTGATTGGCAGGAATAGATGAGGCCACAGCTTAAAACACAGCTTTTTAAATTCTTCACCATTTTTCACCTTGTGTGTGTCTGTATGTATGTGTAAGTGATTCTGTGTGTTTGTGTCAGTCTGTGTCTGTCTGTGTATGTGTGTCAGTGTGTTTGTATGTCTGTAAGTGTGTCTGTGTGTGTCTGTATGTCTGTGTCTGTGTAAGTGATTCTGTCTGTCCGTGTCTGACTATGTGTCTGTGTAAGTGATTCTGTCTGTCCGTGTCTGACTGTGTGTCTGTGTCTGTGTGTATAATGCTGATTATTTTAATTACTTTAGCACGATCTTACTAACAGACTTACCACTGGTAGCTGAGGAATCATTAAGGGTAAGACATTGATTGCTGATGGTATCTGGCAGGAAACAATTTAAAAAACATTGTGGTTGGTGTATTAAAAGTTTGTATTCCTTCTGAAATAATAATTTGTGTAACCGTGCTCTTCTCAGATCGGATGTTAAAGTATAACTATAGAAATAAAAGCCCCAGAAAATAAAGTCTCTACTTACTGGTTTCCCAGAAGTGCACCCCAAAAAGCAGAAGGTCAAGAACACAAGACCCATCAGAAACATTGTAACCTGCCAATGCAAAGAGGATTATCAGGAACTAGGAAAATCATGAAATCCACAATAGGTGAAGAGTAACTGAACAGCATCTTACCTGTATAAAATTTTTCAGAAGATAGCGAGCTAATTGATATTCCGTACACAGAAGTCTTATGACAATGTCAGTGGATTCCAGCAGAATTTAAGCTTTGCCCACTTTTGAATATGGCCAATCAGATGGGAGCAGTGCAGACACATTACGTTTAATGTGCTCTTTTCATAGCTTCTCAATGGTAGGTTTAGCTCTATGTGTCATGGTGCTGCTTCCAGACACAGTCAGATATGATTAGATAACATTACGTCATTATGTGAAATATGACTTTGGTGGTCATGCATAAGAATTGTTTTTTGTCTTAATTTGTCCAACTTTAAAATAGAGTGTTATTTAAAAAGATGGTTTTGAGTCATATAATGCAAAATCTTTACATCTCATTCCTGAACATGTTTCCTGGTCTTGTTGCATTTTCATGCCACTTTCCTGCGAAAGTGTTGTTGCGCAAGATGAGTCACGACTACCATGAAGCCTATAATGTGAAGCTTTTCTGTGATGATGCACTAAGCGGGCAGGGGCCGCCGTGCCGCCTGCGGAATATAAATGTACGCCGAGTGTCGCGCCATGATGTGGACATGGAGACAGACCCGGCCCAGTGCTCGTCAGCATTTCCCAGCGAATATAAAGGCACGTTTGCTTTTTCATAAACCTTCCCGTTAAAGAAGCAGCTTTGGCCCATTTGAGAGGCGTCCCGCCATGTCACAGCTAGATCCATCACTGCGTCAGCAGGCTCTGGACGAGCTCTTACCGATCATGATAGTGCGTGCTGTTGTTTTCTGCTGCTCTTATTGCTGAGAAATGTATTTTGGTCGTCCACTTCGGCATTTTGTCTGGGCTTTTAAACGGGGCACAAAGAAAAGGTGCTGTCATTCAGCAGAGATACTGGTAATGTAACATGAACGCTAGGGCTCCAGCGCCCCCAGTCCCTGGGGTACTGACCAGGGCTGCCTCTGCCATTTATTGTCAGTGTTGGGCATTTCAGGTCCAGAAGCTACAAATCCGGACCAAGGTTTTGTTTCTACCAACC